ATGATCCGTAAACACTCGTGAAAACTTTCCGTGTGTTCAAGAGAGGAAAATGAAAAGTGAGAAAGAAAGCTTCCTTCTGAAACCAACTTGTTAAACCACTAAACTTTATTAAGCTGATTAAGCTGAAACAAAATATCGAATGCGTTAATATATATTCGTAACGCGTATATGGAAACAGGAGCCGCCATCGATCGATATTCTCGACCGAAAGAGGAAGATGAAAGAAAAAAAGAAGAGAGAGAGAGAGAGAGAAGATACAAAGCCACTTTGTTCACAGATTTGTTTCCTAATCTTTCCTCTTTCTGGTCGATGCTCCTCCCCTGTATATATATATATATATATATATAGTAGGAGGAACGACGAGGAGGAGGGTGTAAGGCTGGATACCGGGCGGGTTATCAAACTTGGCAACACCGACTACGCTAAAAACTTTTCGAGTGGGGAAGTTGCGAATGGGATTACGTTTGTACCCTGAAAAGAGTATCCCGCCCTCCTATCTGTATTAATTAAAAATGTTTTTGCGCACTCGATTAAATGTAACTTCTGCCAACGCCAACGAAACAGGTTTCGAATTTTTTCCAAGTCGAAGAGTGTTTTTAATATTGAAACGATTTAATATTTATTATTTTCTCATAAGATAGATTGAAAAATGATGCTTGAACGGGGAAGAAATTATTTAAACGATCATGCGCGATTATCATGCAAATGTATGTCACGTTGATTCGAAGGAGAAATTGCTTGTCGTAACGATGCCGTTTTACAGCCAGGTATTATTCTGATATTTTAATCCATCCCGCCATAATTCAAAGGTAATTGAGCCATTTAACAACAAGGATAAACATAATTCCCGCCCCATGAATATTCAATCATTAATATCGAAACACCGTCGCCACTGCCGAGGACAAATGATCCGTAAACACTCGTGAAAACTTTCCGTGTGTTCAAGAGAGGAAAATGAAAAGTGAGAAAGAAAGCTTCCTTCTGAAACCAACTTGTTAAACCACTAAACTTTATTAAGCTGATTAAGCTGAAACAAAATATCGAATGCGTTAATATATATTCGTAACGCGTATATGGAAACAGGAGCCGCCATCGATCGATATTCTCGACCGAAAGAGGAAGATGAAAGAAAAAAAGAAAGAGAGAGAGAGAGAGAGAAAGATACAAAGCCACTTTGTTCACAGATTTGTTTCCTAATCTTTCCTCTTTCTGGTCGATGCTCCTCCCTCGTATATATATATATATATATATATATGGGAGGGAAACACGAGGAGAGGGGAAGGGACAGAGACAATATTGACCGAGGGGACGGGTAAACAAAACATTTATGTACAAAACTTGCCGTGTTGGCCGCATTTTACGAATCCTTGCGAAGGAAGATTCGCGTTATAATAATATATTTTCCATTCAACGGATATTTTGTCTTTTTTTCCTCGTTCTAAACGGAGTTTCGGGACGATAGATTTGCGGTCGAAGGAAATGGAGGCAAAAAAAAAAAAAATAATGAAAAGGCAATGAATATGGGAAAGGTGCAATCGACAGTTGTTCGTGTCGCGCAATTACAAGGCTCGTATTATCGCACGCGATCAAACGTTCCAAAGAGGCGAGAAAGAGAATTTGAAAAATGATTAATCCGAGATTATTCGTATTAATCCAGGAATAGATTTGTCGCTCGATTAATAATTAGAGAATTTAATGTTTTTTTTTTTAGCACGATCGTTAGACTGTGAAAAAATTAATCGTAAAAATGAGTTGAATAAATAATTGATGAAAAAAATAGAAAAGAGAATCAATGAAAAATCGGTGGAAAATTAATTATGCGAAGCCCGTTCAATGTTATCGTATCGTAATTATAATGGCAGACGTGCATGCATGAGTATGTACACGAAACGCATCGTAGCATCGCGATAAGTAGAATTTACCACTGAGTGTACCACGGACGGTGGTATATAAAATGTGAGCGTAATGCTAATTACAGTTTCTCGATCGATAATCCGATTACGCGCAATTCTAATTGGGGGAGGGGGGAAAAAACGAGAAACAACCGACTTACGAACACGCGATAATCTTACAACATTCTAATCGTCGCTGTTGAAAACTGTCCTGTGACTTTATTATCCTCCCTATTAAACTATGCTAATTAAATTCTATCTCGTCGAAACGTGAAATATCGAATCACGCGAGTATTATATCCATCTAAAATTCACAAAATGTTTCCACGCTTTGATACTCGCGTTGTTCGCCGCGCTATTATTTGGCCAAATCTTGGTCCTGGTAAACATTGCTACTTTTTCGACAAATATAAGAATTGGATAAGAGAGATGTAAAAAAAACTGGAGGGTTTCTAATTGGACGATCGAAATCGATACTTGGAAGGAAAGGTAAACGGTATTGGGGAGAATTTTTGGCGCGTGTCCAAGTAATACGATAGTTTTGATCGTTAACTCGCGTTAAGGTTAGGCTTGGTTGGGAATTTCTATAACGTGACGGCGGGACGAGCCGTCAAGAATAGAGGAGGGAATAGCGCCACCAACTTTGAAAGAAATCGTGCACGACGAAGAAATTTTCTTCTCGTGCTTTCTCATCAGCTTTTTTTCGAGTTCAACCACTTTGTACTCGTACTTTCTTCTACGTACTGGTTGAAAACAAAGGAACGTGGAAGAAAAGTCGACGGGACTGCGTTCTAATTACAACCAACGTGGTAACAAAGTGAATTTCAACGTTTGTTTTCACCACGGACGCCGCTTTTTCACCATCGACAATCCCGAATGAGGTAACCTTTCATCAATCCGAATAAGAAGAATAATGGCCACCGACCGAACGGATACTTTTTCTTACCGACATTACATTTTTTTCTCCCGAGTATAATCTGAAATAGTCGCGAGGAGGAGGACGAGGAGGAGGAGGAGGGGCGGAAAGATTTTCGATATTGAAATGCCGACTCAATTAAAATTTAGATTGCGCGAGTCTAGTAAAAGAATTTTTCCATGGAACAACAAAATATTCCTTTTCGTTTCTCCAACGTGGAAAAATTTTTCCACGTTTTGTTAACAATTAAATACAATTGTAAGAAAGAAATTAAACACAATTGTGAGAAAGAAAAGTAATAAGTGAACGTTTCGTTTCGTTTGTTCGTTTCGCGTATTGAGGATATAATTTTAAAAATTATTTTCTTCTTTATTATGCATAATTGAAAGATAAATTTTTGAAATACGAATCTCATTCGTTTTTTTTTTTTTTTTTTTTTTTTAATTTTTTTGAAATTTATTCTACGTTAAAAATAACACACACACACACGAGAATAAAGATACTTTTCCCTGCTTGAACAACTGCGAATCGACATACGTTTGTATCATGTGCTGCCGGATATTGCATTCTTTGAGAATCTTCTTCGACACAGAACAAATCCCAGTAGTATAGATTACTTTTTAAACCGACAATCGACTCACGTCGCAGTGAAACGTACCAACGTTTCTTCTAAATCGAATATTGCAGTAACAAAAAAAATTTGAATAAGCATATCCGTTTCTCTTAAACATTATTCAAAGAAAAATTATATTTTTTTTTTTCTCAACAATTATAAAATACAAATATCCGACCGATTTTAAATATTTTAAATAAGATTGATGAAAGATATTTATACAAAAATTTAACTTTACAGCGATTGAAAATTTAAAAAAATATCAGAAATCTGATATATTTTTTTCATTATATTATTTGTCACTCGCTATATCACTTCAACTTATCAAATACGTGCAATAAGGAGATTACAATGAAAGACGTAAAAAAGGAGATTCAAGCGAATGGAAGGAACAGCAACAGGCACGAGCTGTTGTCAAGTTTCAAATAAATCAGCACGCGATGTATAACAAATGTTAATCGACCGTTTCCTGGATGGAAAAAGTATCTTTGTTTCAGGGTGTCGGTTAGGGCTCGTCACGCACGCTCCTCTCAAATTGCTGATAAATCACAATGGGATTTCGAGTTCTCGTTAACTATCACACGTTTAATAATAAATCACTCTGGACAGGTTCATCGCTCCAGAAAATACATTATATCTACTCTATAAATCAATCAACTTGAAAAATTGAAATATCAACTATTCCGTGATTCCAAGAATTTGATCTTAATTCGTTGAAGTTAAAATATTTTTAACCTATTATAGATATTAATGGTAATTTTTTTTAATTTCTATTAATTCGTTACGTATCGTAACGTGGAAAAGACGAATTAATTCCTAAAGACGAAGGAATATTCTCATTAAAAATACATTATATTTATATTTATATTTGATAAATGTAAAATCGTAACCTAAAATTAAGCTTTTTATATATTTTTTACTCTCTTTCCTTTTCTCTCTCTCTTTAAAAAAGTCTTTGACCACGAAACGAACCAAAAAGCTTGTTTTCTAAAAACTAAAATCGAATAAAAAACCAACATTAAAAGCAATCAATCACCGTTAAGAAGAAGAAACGGTACAAGCAAGTATCGAAGAAAGTAACAAATGATACGCAATAAATACGTTTTTTTTTTTTGCAATCTCATATGAGCATCAACTAGCAAAGATTGTTAAAAGATATCGTTTAGACGACGTGATATCCATATATCACAATACATGTTCCTAAAGCTGACTGTCATATCGAAGGATAACGTTTTACCCCATTGCGAGGACATGTACACAAGAAAAACATCGAGGGAAACGATGCAAACCGGCAAACACTCAGCTCGGAATCCTCTTATCCAAACAAAGCAGCCGGAGGTGTACGAGGTATCCACGTTAAGCGGTCGAGTTGGCAATGTGTATAGGTGTTGCGGTACAGTGCGAACTTTATCCCGAATCATGTCTCTCTTTTTCATCTCTCTTTCCGTCTATTTCGACGTTACACTCACACCAACGACGGGTAAGAATTCAGCAACGCACAGCTGACTCTGAACACGATAGTCGCCGTTTTCTTCGCGAATACAATGCGACTATACGTACGAGCATTTAACATACACACCTGGTCGGGCCGACCCAAGGTCAGGTCACTAGGCCGCGGACGAACATACAGTGGCTGCTTAACTCTCCAAGATTCTAATAACGATCCTCCAAATGGCGGTGAACTTCTGATCTCGAATTCATAAAATCACCTATTTGCACCACTCGGCCCGAAAGAAACAGCCCAGGCAGAATAACAACGACGAGAGAAGACGACGACTCGCCCTTGTACTCGACGAGATCAGCACCGAACACGCGACGTAACGAAAACAGTGTTTACGCGTCTCGACCGTATTTCATAGCTATTCACGATACAAACAAAGAGCGTTATCAATGTGACAAGTCGAAATAGAAGAACCGTGCGTGCACTTGTGTGTACACGAGTTGAGAGCGATTCGCGTTCCACCGAGCGGAATAGTGACGAGAGTTAACCTGACCTCTTCGAGCCTCACCGAAGAACTGGCGGGCTCGTGCGCTCGCACGCACCCGTTACCCCCTCCATCGCTACGCGACACCTATCTGCTCCACCGTAAACCCTCGCTACTTCTTCCCCTACTTTAGCCCCCACCACCGACCGTAGCCAACCACCTACCCCTACTCGTTCTTCCCGACTCGTGTACACAATCGCAGAAGCGCGGAAAATTCGAAAGACGAGAGTTAATTATAACGACTCGGACAAGAGGCTTGCCTCTTCAGCTGATTCGTTTGTTCCGTGTTCATTGACTACAATTTTCTTATGTTGATGCACGCTTCTTTGAATAGAAACCAACTTTCAGACTTTCAACGTATATATGGACGATTCAGTTTTTATTATTATAGATCTTTTCGTTGTCACAAAATGAAAATGTAAAACTGTATGTATGGATATTTGATATGGTTTATGAAAAATTACACTCGATATTAAATTTTGATGTACATACACTTGTTATTTTTATTCTACAATGATAATTATTTCATTGTCAAAAATAATATAAACCAAGCTTCAATTCCGAATTGTTCGTGTAATACATTTATTATTACGCGCATTTGTACGTAAGAGCGTAGAAAATTGAAAGATGAAGCTTAATTATACTCTCCGACTAATTTGCTTCGATCGTCGTTTCTCTTATTTATCGTCTCCTTGAACTTGGATTACAATGCATTTAATTTTATATTTAAAGATTTATTATTAGAACGCGAAATTTAAGACTGTCCCGTGGATACACAATTGTATGATCGATTTCACAATGTATTACTGATGACTGTATCGAATCATTATGCACTAATGTAAAATAGTTGCTCTTGCATATGCAAACTTAAACCGATCACTTAATGAATAAATTATAACAGTATGAATAAAGCAGAATTTTAAAATTATATATATATATATAATGTTAGTGAAAATATAGATAATTCAAAATTTCCGCGATTTGTATAACTCGATTATTTATATAAGCTCTGCTCCAATAAGATTGTTCCACGATTGTGATTGGTGCTCTCGAAAAACTACTTATTACGAAAACGTTATTCTCTCTCCAATCGGTATGCACAAGGGTTAATAAAGTAGTAACTATTCTATTCGATGAAAGTTTCTATTCCTTGTAACCTGTAAAATAGAATTACAATAGTAGAGTGGAAACGTTGACTTGGATAATTAAGATTTTGTTGAAATATCGGGAAAAAAACTTTTTAAAGAGTTTTTAATTTTACTAGTAAAAGATATATATCTTAAAATGACTCGACTGATCTTTCTTTTGATTGTGCAGTGCAATCATGTGTTTCCGCATTTGTTATGTAGATGCGGCACTGCTCGGTTTAGTATGCATTCCTATAACGCTCCGTGCATGTATACGTGCGGACCCAGATTCACTGCAGCATACATGATTATTATCAAATAGAACGTGAAATGCATGTGACTTGGAGGAAAAAGGTGATTCGACCTGTGCATTCAACCGGTAATTGATTTACGATACATTTCAACGTATCCATCATCAACAATGAGATAGAAAGATCTTTATTTACAACGTGTGCAATTTTATATTTTAACAACTTGATTAAAATCATTATAATTAATATATGTTATAATATAAAAACTATTAAACAGAGATAAAATAAATATAAATTATTTTTCAAAATCTAATCTAATATATACGAAGAGTAGTAGATTTTATTTTTTTTATTTTCCTGAATTGAAAACATTTGGGCAAAAATATATTATTATATACAGATATAAAATTCAGATGAATTTAAAACGTGTGTTAAAACGATTCGTTTTTCTATTGAATCTTTCGGATACGTTCTACAGAAAATTATAATACGTATAATATTTCGATTAAGTAAAAATACGATATATCCCGATAAGTTTCATTCAGTATTTTACAATCGTTCATTGAAAATATCGTGTTTGTATCTAGAGGTAATTGACTTCCTGCGCACGCGATCTTTTTCATTAATAGACAACGTTTGCAATTACTTATTAATCATTCTTTCATATATATATATATGTGTGTGATATAAAAAAAGAAACTATTTATTCTAAATCGCTTTTCGTAATTTAATTCTTTTTTTATTAAAAGGAAAAAAAATTAATATAAATTATAAATAATTTATATTAAAATTATTTACGAATCATTATTGCAAGGAAAGAAAAAAAAAGAAAGAATCGAAAGAATAAAATTCAAGTAAAATAGTAGAAGATGAAATGATTTTTCAAAAATTTTAAGCAATTTCCAGATTTTTAAAAAAAAATATGAGACAATATTTATAGATGTTTAAATAATATTTGTATTAGACATCAGCCAATATCAAAACGATTTCGAGTAAAGGAAGATTGCATGGCGCTGCTACTTTCGCTGGCACATTATTTGCATAGATGCGTTTATATGGAACGCAGAGATATACACATAGAGGTGAGAGAGTGCGATACGGCATAGAACATATCCGCGACTTCATTCCTCACGACGGCGCGAATCGATAAACGGCGACCATCACGCAACACACAAACCCATCCTCGCCAACCACCCCGACCTCGACGACCGGCTGCACCATTCCCCGGATCGTACGGCATCTCTACACATCTTGTTACCATTAAAATAGACAGAGCTTTCGATGCATCATCGGTACACTCGGCAATTACATAACCTATAAGTTTTCCTTTCGTCGGTAATTTTCAGTCACTTATTAATCTCATTTCTCTTTAGTTCATGTACAATTAACTTCTCTAAGATCTTTCTTAGATAGCTTTATTTGTTTCCTTGTTTTAAAATGATGGAATCTGATGAATAATAGAAATCTTTAATTGAACAGAAATTTTGGTATATTTTGATACGAGCTTGAACAATGATAGAACATTCTTCTTTCTCTATTCTATATTCATATTCTATTAATCTGGCTTTCATACTTGTAACGGACAATCAGACAAGAAACTTTAAATAATCTCATGTCTTTCTTGAGTGACATTCTTGTTGGATTTTTCGGTTATATTTTATTTTTATGGAATTCTATACAAAATATCTTTGAATTCAATTATCTTCTATTCCGATTAAAAGATTTTTTTTTGTAGAAAATATTAAAATCATTTTCAAAGAGATTATAAAAAAAAATTATTTCAATTATTTTTGCCTGCAAATCAATTATTTGATTTTTGTTAGAATATATTTTTTCAAACGAAAGGATAAACTCAAAAATTTGGGAGGTCAAGTATACGAAACGAGAAAAACGTGACAGATTTACTAAAGAACAATCCATTCGAAGCAGGTATTCGAGTACCTAGAAATGAGGTTATTCTAGATGGTATGTAAAAGCAGTGAATGCGAATCATTATTATTTGCATTCATAATAGTTGCAAGTTACTTAGATATAATCGTTATTTTAGATAATATATAATATATGCGCTTATATATTTTAAATAGAATAGATAAAATTAATAAAAATAACTGTGCTCTATAAATATTATTAAATTAATACAAAATATACATATAAAATATACAAATAAATATTAAAAAAAATTTTATATAACTTTCATAAATATTTTTTAAAACTTTGTACATATTTTTAATTTAATTTTATATGATATTATAATATTTAAAAAAAATATTTTCGAAAATATTTCATCGATTTTTATAATTTATATAATGAAATTTCTTTTAGAATCATTTATTAATCTTTTTGTAAATCAATGTATTTTTTGTTTATCAAATCCATAAATTTATTTCCAATAAAATAAATGATAAATTAAATAATATAATACTATTTATCATATTTCATAATTGAAAATAAGTCTTGTTATGATCAAAAACATATGCTTCTGCAAAATAACACAGAACGCCATTCTGTAGTAACTAAAAATCGTCAAAAGTTTGGCGCGAAAACAAAGTGCGCATGTAAGAAAAGTGGCGGACTAGGTGGAGCTAGCAGCGCAGTGAAAACAGAAACCCAAACCGGTCATGGAGGCTAGTTAACGACTGTGCGCCGCGCTTGTGAATAGTAATTTCACCAAGATATTGTGTTATTTACGCGGACGCTAGAGAATCGACTGAAAGATTGCCGGTTTAAACGAAAATGGGTGCATACTTGTCAGAACCGATTACAAAGAAAGTGTCGAGCGATGAAGTGGGCAAGAATGTCGCATTCGGCGCGAGTTCCATGCAAGGCTGGCGAATTAGTCAAGAGGTAAGCTAAAACTCTCGAGCGGCCAGTGCACCGTTACCCAGTTTCGTTTCGATAAGAGAACTGTTTGCCGGTTCTCTGTTTCGCTAAGCTATTACGACATTCATTCTAATTTATCGTAGCGTAATCTATCTATGTGTCGAAGCGCGAAATTCAGTCTATTCGATTCGAGAACGACAAATATCGTGCTTATAGAAACAACAGTGCACCGACGTTTCGCTTATGAACAAAACAGTACTATTAAAAATATTCATTGTCATAATTCGAAGTCATTTCTGAAATGAAAGTTTTTCAGTTTATGAAGACTTCTATTCTCTATACTAATTTAATGACCTATTATTACTAATATAAAAAGCTAAAACTTTATGATATTTCTATATATTTCATAACTATTAAACTTATATTCTAAAAAATATTCTAATAATATTTACATATTTTAAAATAATTTATTAGTAATTATTTTCTAAATAACAGAGCATTAAATAACAATTTGATAAATTAAAAATTTTATCAAAAATTTCTTTTTTAAAATAATGTGATTTGTATAATTTTTTAACATATTCTGGCTATTGAAAATATCTATTCATTGAAATATATATATGACAATAATATAAAAAAAAATTATTTTATTTATGCAACATATATATCTAACAATTTTCATATTTATATATTCATTTTAATTGATTAATGTGATATGAAACATTTGAAATTAATCTTTTAAATAATTATTGAATATATTTAACAATTTTTTAAAAATATTTTTAATTATATAAAATTAAAATTAATTGGAATATATCCATGTAAAATATAATATAAAATATAATTATTTGTTTATAGGATGCACATAATTGTTGCATAGATTTTGATGAAAATGTTTCATTATTTGCTGTATATGATGGCCATGGTGGTCATGAAGTAGCAACTTATTGTGCAAATAATTTACCAGATTTTATTAAACAAACTGACGCATATAAAAAGGGAGATATAAGACAAGCTTTAATTGATGCCTTTCTAGGCTTTGATGCTACACTTGAAAAATCTGAGGTAGTTAGTATCCTCAAAGAACTTGCAGGAACATCTACTTCAGATAAGAAAAAAGAAGAGTTAAATGAATCTGGTGCGTTTCTTTTCATATTAAAATATATTATTACACAAATTATATTAACCTAAATTAAACTATTAATTATTATATTTCATAATTATTAGTTTGTTCCATCTATTTCTTTGTACAAAAATATATTTAATAAAGTTGTCTTCATACGTTACATTGCACATAGATGAAGAAGAAAATGTTAATAATCTATGTATGGAGGCAACAATGCCATTGGAAGAAGTAATAGCAAAATATCAATCAGAATCAAATCCTAATGTAAAAAATGAAAAATGTAATAAACGAGTATGTTCTGCAAGTCCTTATCTACGTGGTCGAAGAGGTAAAGAAAAAGCAAGTTCTTCATCATCTGGTGCAGGATGTTCATCATCTTCATCTTCATGGAATACAAATGAAACTGATGTGAGTAGTTCCAGTCAACCGTGTGGATCAACTTTATCTAGTACAATGGAAAGAAAAGAATCAGAATGTCCTGGAAACAATGAAGCCGAACAAGTTCTTGATTCAACTAGTAATGGAAATACACATGCATCTACACCTGTAGGATCTACAGCAGATGTAGAAACAACAAAAAGTGCAGATATGCCAGATAGTTCTGAAGATGTAAACAAGGAAGTAACAAGTCCTGGTAAAATTACATCTATAGAGTCAAATGCAAATGAAGTAGAAATAAATGGTGCAGAATCAAAGCAAATTGGAGATGCAGATAGTAGTAAGGGTGGAGGAGATAATGTTTCAAGTAGTTCATGTATCCCAATAGAAAATGGAGATGCAGGACAACAAGAACGGATAACTAGTACTGGTAGAAGAAGAATTCAACCTGTTACATTATATCATACTCTCTTAAAAAAAGATAGTGAAGTTTCTGAAGATGATGATGATGATGAAAATGATGAAACATTTGATGGAATTCCAGAAAGGTAGAAATAATTTTATAAGTAAAATTTTTTATTTTTATATTTTAAACATTCAAATTTTAATTATTTATATAATCCTTTTATTATATATTACTTTCAATTATAAAGTTTTAGTGATGAAGATGACATAGAAGATATTGATGAAGATGAAAGTGATGAAGATGAAGATGAAGAAGATGAAGATGGAGATGGTAATATTGATGATGATGATGATGATGATGATAGTGAAAGTCTTATGATGGATACAGAAGAGGTATGAAAGTTTTTTTCCAAAATACATTTTATTTAAGCTTAAAATATTGTGTTATGATAATTAAATTAAAATAATTCATAAATTACGTAAATAATTCATTTATACAGCCAGGTTATGATAGTGGATGCACTGCAGTAGTTGCAATTTTAAAGGATAATGAATTATATGTGGCAAATGCTGGAGACTCCCGTTGTGTTTTATGTAGAGATGGTCAAGCTATTGAACTTAGTTTGGATCATAAACCCGAAGATGAGCCAGAAATGGAACGTATAGTAAAAGCTGGTGGAAAAGTTACAGCTGATGGTAGAGTAAATGGTGGCCTTAATTTATCAAGAGCACTTGGGGACCATGCTTACAAACAAAATGCAGACTTGCCACCACAAGAGCAAATGATTTCTGCTCTTCCTGATGTAAGGCATATTACAATTGAACCAGAAAGAGATGAGTTTATGGTGCTTGCTTGTGATGGTATTTGGAATTTCATGTCAAGTCAAGATGTTGTACAATTTATTCGTGCTCGTTTAACTCAAAATTATGAAAAATTATCAAAAATCTGTGAAGAGGTACAAAACATATATCTTATTTACAATTACTTTTTCCCTTAATTTGATTTAAAATAAATATTATTTATTAACAAAATTATTACGTTATAGCTATTTGACCATTGTCTTGCACCCGATACCTGTGGAGATGGTACAGGATGCGACAATATGACAGCTGTAATAGTACAATTTAATTCGTCGACTAATGCTGTAATGAATAGCACTATTACTGATGTATGTACTGTTAAAAGGTCACTATCGCCATCTATATTGACAGAAGAAAATAATGATTGTATTATGCAGGATGATACAATGAAATCTTGTAAACGACTTAAAACTGAAACAACTATATGAGAAATGTGTTAAATATTATAAACTGTTATAATCTCTGGAAACAGATGAGTGAATGTGAATTTATGTAAAATTATGTAATTCTAAAAAAAAAAAAAAAAAAATAGAATTTTGAGCGGATACTCAATGGTGATCGATACCAGTTACTTTAAATATCATGTAAAGTATGTTATAGCTGGCTATTGAAGGCAGACTGATAAATTGGAGCATATGAGGATGATACTTTGCTACTAATATTTCAATATTAGGAACTTCATTTGATAAAATAATAACTATGTTATTTATTATTATTATTATTATTATTTGATATAAAAAAAACTTTTTCGGTTTTTTTTTTTTTTTTTTTTTTTTTTTTTTTTTTTTTTTTTTT